ATATATAATATTTTGGGGGATTCTTAGATGTGAATATAAACATACACTCTTAAAAACACAATTTGCTTGTTAAAATTCATTAGTTGCAGCTGGGCATGGTGGCACATACCTGTAATCCCAGCACTCAGGAGTCTGAGGCAGAGGATCACCCCAAATTCGAGGCCAGCCTGCGCTATAGTCCAGCCTAAATTATATAGCAAGATCTGGTCTCAAGGGCTGGGGAGATAGCTCAGTAGAATAAGTGCTTGCCTTGCAAGTGCAAGGTCTTGAGTTCAATCCCCAGTACCATCAAAAAAAAAAAAAAAAAAAAAAAATCTGGTCTCAAAAACCCACATTAATAATCAGTCAATCTGTGTCACTTCTTGGAAGACAAAGAGTAACTGGACATACTACTTTTGGACAAGGTCTGTCCTACATTACCTTCATAATGAGATCATTACATTTACTGCACTTCCCTTCACACTATTATCTTTTACAGATAACAGAAAATTGAGGTCCAGAGAAGCTAAGCAATCTGTCCAATACCCCTTATCAAGTAACTGCTAGAGGGTGAAGCAACAATAGGACAACAGAGAGACAGCAAGCAGATCCTGTGGCAACGTGGAATACCGCTTTGGGTCCTCCCTTCCAAGATGACGAAAAAAAAAGAAGGAACAACGGTCATGCCAAAAAGGGCCATGGGGGCTGGGGAGATGGCTCAGTAGAATAAACACTTGCCTGGCAAGAGCAAGGGCCTGAGTTCAATCCCCAGTTCTGAAAAACAAAAAACACAGGCGGATCACTGAGTCCGATCTAGTAGTGAGACCCTAAACACCCTGTAGACCCTTCCATAAAATACAGAGAAAAAAATCCAAAAAGGGCCGCAGTTATGTGCAGCCTATTCGCTGCATGAACTGCACCTGGTGCATACCCAAGGATAAAGCCATTAAGAAGTTTGTCATTCGGAACATAGTGAAGGCCGCCACCATCAGGGACATTTCCAAAGCGAGTGTCTTCGACGGTTATGTGCTTCCCAAGCTGTATGTGAAGCTGCGTTACTGTGTGAGTTGTGCCATCACAGCAAAGTGGTCAGAAATCGATCTCATGAGGGCTGCAAGGACCGAACTCCTCCACCCCGATTTGGACCCGCAGGTGATGCCCCACGGCCTCCACCAAAGCCCATGGGAGGGGAGCTGGGTCTTCATGGACTGAAGAAAACTCTCTTGAGAAAAACATAATAAATTGAATGTTATACTTAAAAAAAAAAAAAAAAAAAACAATGTGGGATACCTATATCTTGTTCCAGTCACATAAAAGCATTGTGCTGGGCTGGTGAGATGGCTCAGTGGTCTAAAGCACCTACTTAGAACAAACTAAGCCAAGCAAAGCACAGGGACCGTGGTTCAATCCCCCAGCACCACATGCCAGCCAGCCCCACCCCCTGGTGGGCTGAGCTGGCCATACACACAAAATAAATAAAATTAAATAAATAAATAAAAGCATTGTGCTTATGTACCCACATTATTTTTTAAACTGCAAAGGAACATTATTATAATCTACTAATACATTTTTAATACCCAGAGTAAGCATTTTTGCCCATTGGGAAAAAGGCTAACAATGTAAAACACACGCACGCTGATGTAGTCCAGCATGTATTTCACTTGTCCATTCAGACAGGTGGTGTGGTGTGGTATAACAGCATCTGAGCAGCCAGAACAAGTGTGACCTAATTCTCCAGCTGAGCCTTTGAGGTGGAACTGGAGTGTGGAGCCTTAGAGCCCTCAGGGTGTCTGTGAGCACTTCCCACTGCCCCCAAGGAAGCCAGAGTCCTTGGGTCCATGACTTTCTTCATATGGGGATTGAAGTCAGGGCCTTTGCACTGAGTCACATCCCTCCCCCTTTCTAAATTTATGCTGAGATAGCGTATGGCTGAATTGACCAAATGGCTTAAACACGGGATCCTCTGCTTGACCCGTCTTAAAGGGCACGGAAGCCAGCTTTTCACATATTACAGGAAGCAGAAGAATTCAACATTAAAACGGGAAACTTTATTTACATCAGTCAGAGCAGTCTTACACCATGTAGCCCATTAGTTAACAAAGTTTCCCTATGGTGGAAACATTGCACCTGAACTTAATTGGCTATGAACCGAACAGGGTGCGATTCCAATCAAATCATTAGTTTCCTATCTGTAAAATAAATGATTGCATGTCAAAAGTGTTGCAATAATTAAATGAAGTTTTGAGTGTGTGTGTGTGTATGTACAATATTAGTACACTACTATAAATACTAGACTAAAAAAATACAAAGCACATATGACAATATTTCTGGGTGGTAGGTAGGTCCATGCATGTTTATACTTTCCTGTGTTTTACATTTTTCAAAATAAAATGGAGGGGCCGGGGAGATGGCTCAGTGGAATAAGTGCTTCCCTGGCAAGCTCAAGGACCTGAGTTCGATCCCCGGTTCCACCAAAAAAAATAATAAAATGGAAAATACTTGGGCCATGGATATAGCTCAGTGGTGCTGCTCCTGTCTGTTGCCCCAAAAGCCCCAAGTCCTGAGTCTGATTCCTGATACCCACCCACCCCCCCAAAATAAAGAAAATATTGATTAGAACATCATTTTATTCAGGTAAGCTTTAAAGATAGACTAAATATTTTCACAAGAAACCCTTTGGAATAGTGATTCATAGTAGAAAGCAGAATGGAGACCTAAGGACTACAGAAGGTAAGAGATGAAAGATGATCTAATCTCTAAAATTGAGTCTAATTTTCTTATTTTCTAGACTAGGAAACTAATCTGATAAGTAGTTTCTCCAAGTTACATCCAGTGAGTTAACATCAACGCCAACAGAAACATGTTGATCCCGGCTCCTGTAAGTGCCACATCTCAAAGTGTATTGTCTCATTTTTTAAATTCTAAAGTCCAATGTTACGACACAACATGATCCTTGTCATTTTATTCTCTGCATTGAGCAGAATATATTTTGTGAGAACAATGGCAAGATTCCCAAACAGCTAAAAAAATTAATAGATAAGACATTTCAAAAGTCTGTCCACTTGATATAAATTCAAAAGCTATGAAAATATATTTTATAGTATGTGTCACATGTAGAAAACTAAAAATTTCTTCAATCTGAAGAAATGAATCAGTGTCACATGGAAACATGACCTAAAAGTTGATCTTTGGAAAGCCAGGCATTGTGATGCAGGCCAGTAATCCCAGCACTTAGGAGACTGAGGCAGGAGGATTTCTGTGGAGTGAGGCCACCACGGGCTACATAGTGAATTCAACCTGAACTACACAGCAAAACCTTGTCTCAAAAATCAGAACTAATTAAAATATATTGGAAAATAATTAAATTATATTTTAGAATGCTTGAATCATACAGTAAAGATTCTCAAAAAAGCCGTAATCAGAAATCACATAGAGAGGTTGAGGGTTTAACTCAGCTAGAACGCTAGACAGCTGCAAGTCCTGGGTTCAGTCCTTGGCACCAAAAACAAAAAATAAACCTCAACTAAAAAGAAATCACACGGACACAACCACTGTGGTTACTACAGAATTACCAGCTAATTTTACTTTAATAACAAGAATCTGACCTTCAAAAAAGAATGATGAGATTTAAGGGCACCATTTAAAATAATTTGGTGTTTTATGAGACAGCATTCATACATCCGCTTTCTTACAGCGAATGGATTGGGAAATTACCAATCAGCACAGCACCTAAAATAGTTTAAGACACAACTCCTGAGTACAGTATTACATAGCTTAATATTAATGACATTAAATAGACACATTATACAAAGAGAAAACCAGGGCTTAATACCTTATAAAACATTTACAAACCTTGAATATTCCTGTAAGATATAATTTAAATCAGAATTTAAAGATCAATTTAATGAGCTACTGATATAATGAAAGGGTTGAGATTACAAAAAAATGTAAACCATAAAACAAAAATACTTAAAAATACACAAAATTGTAACTAGATTTAAACTTAGATTTTTAAAAAGTAATTAAATATTTACAATCTTTAAATTTCACACATTTATTAATTTTACATGATCTCAATTACCAGGGTAACATAAAACAAAACAGAACAACAAACCTTTTACCCATTTAAATATAATAACTGAAAAAAAATCAGTAAGTGAGGCTGGTAGAACTCAGTATACACAATAGCTAAAATGTGAGAGGCAGGGACTTTATTGATAAACAGTCAGAAAACAGACTTAACCAAAACTGCACATTTGAACAAGCAGTTTCATTTCAGAGACTTAAATGCAAGGACTAAGTATCTTTATCTGCAAAGAAATGATTATAAATAAGTTATCAGAAGGGTTGTTGGTAGGGTTAGTGAGACTGCTTATGTGATAAGAAGTAGTTAGGTATTAAGATATCAACTGTCAAAAAGCCTCAAACAGCATTTTGTTCTTTTTCCTCCTAGTACAGGGAAACTCAGTTTCTCGCTAAGCTACATCCCCAGCAGTTTTTTTCAGGAGGCTTTGTGAGATCAAGGCCAACTACAATACAGAGTGAGTCCTTGTTTCACACAAACGAACAAGAACAAAACAGGTGTCACCGCGTTGCTGAGCTGCCCGGTAGGGCCTGACCTTGCAGTCCTCTTGCTTCAGCCTCCCGGAGCACAAGGACTGCAGGTGTGCGGCCTAAAGCCTGGCCCAGTATTCTGTTCTCAATACAGGAACCAATGTTTAAGCACAAAATCTTTAACTGGAGTGTTCAGCCCAACTAATTAACAAAAGCTATAAAATGCTGCAATACTGATGATATAAAAGCTACCAAAACTCTGTAACGATAACAAAGATAACCAAGCTTTGGCTTCCTGGTCCAGTCGTTTGCCTTGCGAGAACATCACTGAGACCCCAGACTCCTTCACTGTCCCAGCACTGTGGCATCTGCTCTCTATGTTTTCTGTCTATCATAGTCCCCAACCATCTTCTTGATGTGTGATAATTTGCTCTTCAGTTGTTTGCAGTAATTCCTCTTACTTCTGTAATCTGCTGACTAAAGAGGGGGGAAAATGAATCACAGAAATTCAAGTGAATTAAAATAGCTCCGCTGAGAACGCACAGGTAAATTTAAAAAAGGAACTTTAGTCGAAATTTTACTATATGCCTCTTTGAAACTTTTATTTAGGGGTCAGGAAGATAGCTCAGTAGAATACGCATTTGCCTGGCAAGCACAAGGGCCTGAGTTCAATCCCCGGTTCCACCAAAAAACAAAACAAAAACTTTTATTTAAAATTATGGTTTGTAATTCACAAAAATTTAATATAGAAATCTTTAAAAATGTTTTAGGAAAAAAATTAATACTTAAAAAAAAATGTAGGTCAATAATGACTGATATGACAGGTAGCACAAAAACACAGAGGACCAGGCGCTGCTCACACTGAGGGCCTATAAACTGGCCTAGTCCTGGGGACACTGCCTGGCAGAATGTCCTGAGCTGGGCACACACACGACCACTGGCCTTGCAACCCTGCTCAGAAGGCTGCATCTATCAAGTGTGTGGATGGTTACAGAATACTAATTTATGTTTACTCATGAAACACAACACCTCACACCAAAAAAAATAAATGAACCACAACTATATTCTAGAACATGACTGGATTTTAGAAATAATCCTGGACCCAAAAAGTCACGTATGAAATACATGCTATGTGAGTCCATTAATATGAAGTCAAGGTCAACAAACTCCATTTATGTATGTCAAGAAAACTCTAAGAACTGGAGAGAGTAAAATGGGATTGCTAGGACACAAGGACACTGCTTTTTTCTGGGCTTGGTGTCAGCAATACAGGTGCACAGTCATGTTGTGAAAATGTGCCAAGTATACAATTTCATTTCTGCACTTTTCTGAATATATACTTTAAGAAAAACCAAAAAACTTTTGGCTAGGCATGATGGGGCATGCCTAACATCCCAGTACTCTGAAGCATGAGACACGACGGCTGCCTTGAGTTCAAGGCCAGCCTGGGCTACATGGTACGTTTGAGAACAGCCAGAACTACACAGCGAGACCCTGTCTCCAAAAAAAAAAAAAAAAAGCTAAAAAAATACTTTCTGGAAAATTAGTATAGGTTGTAGCTCTAAATGTGGAATTAAAGCTCCAACTATTCACAGTGTTTATACTGAAATTATAGGACCTTTTATCTATAATCAGTGATTGTACTTATCACTTTGTGTGATAAGTATTCGTAGCCATCCTACAAGTTAAATAAAAAACAGACCTAAATTCTTCCTAAAAGAATCTTGCAATTGGGGCCGGGGAGATGGCTCAGTGGAATAAGTGCTTTCCTGGCAAGCGCAGAGGACTGAGTTCAATCCCTGGTTCCACCAAAAAAAAAAAAAAGAATCTTGCAATCGAGGATACTTACTCGTTTAACTTGCTTTAGTCTGTTGTATTCATCTGCAGCAGCCTATCAATGAGAAACACAAGGGAATATATTTAGTGGAGCACTAAGAATAATAATTCACTTTATTTTGTCTTGTTTTTGAGGCACAGTCTCATTGTGTAATTAAGCTTGGCCCTGAACTCACTATGTAGCCCAGACTGGTCTGAAACTCACAGTAATCCTCCTTCCTAAGCCTTCTGAGTGCTGGGATTACAGGCATGCATCACCATGCTAACATTCTGTGTGTGTGTGTGTGTGTGTGTGTGTGTGTGTGTGTGTGGTCTTTTTTTTTTTTTTTTTTTTCGGAACCAGGGATTGAACTCAGGCCCTTGTGCTTGCCAGGCAAGCGCTTATTCTACTGAGCCATCTCCCCAGCCCCTGTGTGGTCTTTCTGAGACAAGATCTCTTTACTATGCAGTTCACACTGACCTTGAGCTCACTTTGTAGTCCAGGCTTCTCTCGAACTCTTGATGATCATCCTGTCTCAGTCACCCAAGTGCTAGGATTACAGACAGGCATGCACCTCTACACCTGGCCTCTGCTAACATTTTTTTTTTTTTTTCTTTTTAACATTCTTGGGGCCGGGGAGATGGCTCAGTGGAATAAGCGCTTGCCAGGGAAGCACTAATTCCACTGAGCCATCTCCCCGGCCCAGAAAAAACATTCTTGATGTTGTGCTTTGTAGGCAACAGTGACAGTTTCTGGTATAAACACAAGGGTCTAGACCTTGTAAAGCTCTTAAAACTCTTATGGCCACCTGGATGGCCTCAAAGAGTCATTGCATAGCCATTTCCCATACTGTATCTCTCCTTCCCATCACATAGGCAGGTAACTATTTGTTCTGTTACCTATTTTACTCCCATGCCAGGCCACATGCACGATGACATCACAAGTCTTTTCTAAAGCACAGAACTGACCTGGCTTTATCCCACTGTAGCAGTGGGCTAAGTTGGTTTTTTTTTTTTTTTTTTTTTTTTATCTTTTTGAGACAGGGTTTCCCTATGCAGTTCAAACTGGCCTTGAGCTTATTTTGTAGCCCAGGCTGGTCTCTCAAAGCGATCTTCCTGCCTCAGCCTTCCAAATTCTGTGGTTACAGGCATGTGCCACCATGTCCAGCTCCCCATTAACTTTCTACTCGTGCAGTTTCCTGCATTTCTATTCTCTGTGACCATCATTTATCATTCTTTATATATGTATGTATGTATATATATATATTTTTTTTTTTTTTGGTGCGGAACCAGAGATTGAACTCAGGCCCTTGCGCTTGCCAGGGAAGCGCTTATTCCACTGAGCCATCTCCCTAGCCCCTTTCATTTATCATTCTTAAAAAACAAAATTAGGTATGTTAATGCTTCAAGATTTCTACCATGTTTTCCTTCTGGCTACAATCCTGTACCTTCTCAACAGTAACTGCTCAGTGAAGCATCCCCAAGGTCTCCACGTGTCCAGCCAACTTTATGCCTTCCGCATGTACTGCATTAGATAATGCTTCCTACAGTTCATGTGAACACAGCATCAGTCACATTGCCCAAGTTGTTCAGACGTCAGTTTCTCTCTTAGAATATTAAGTTTTTTAAGCCAGGCATGGTGGCACATACCTGTAATACCAGCACCTAAGATGCTGAGGAAGGAGGATCACTGTGAGTTTGAGGACAGCCTGGCTACATAGTGAGACCTTCCCTCAAAAGAGAAAAACATGTTTTTGGTTAGAAGACACAAGATTTTATCTGTCTCTCTAACATCAGCACTTCTAGGGCTGGCCAAATAGCAGATCAAAGTGCTTGCAAGCAGGTGTGGACTGGGCATGTGGCGCAAGAGGCACGCTCCTATAATCCCAGCTCTTGGGAGGCTGTAAACAGGAGGATCACTACGAGTCCAATCTAGTAGTGAGACCCTGAACACCCTGAAGACCCTTCCCTAAAATACAAAAAACAAGAAAAACAAACACTTCTACATCATCAAAGATATAAGTGACCAATATGTGTAAACTAAAGCCAGCATAGTCATTCATGTCTGTTAGCTCAGCACTATAGGAGGCGGAAGCAGAAGGATCACATGTTTAAGCCTAGCCTGGAAAATTCAGCAAAGCTTTATCTTGAAACAAAGCTGGGGATATAGTTTAATGTGGAAGTTCTCGGATATAGTTTAATGTGGAAGTTCTCTGTTTAACCCCTAACCCACCCTTAACCCCAAACATTAACTAAAATTAAAAACAAAAAAAGGTGCCGGGTGTGGTGGTGCACACTGTAATCTTAGTACTCAGGAGTCAGAGGCAAGAGGATCGCCGTGAGTTGGAGGCCAGCCTAGGCTACACAAGGGAATCCAGGGCCAGCCGAGACTACATAATGAGGCTCTATCTTAAAAAGTAAAAGCTGGGGCTGGTGAGATGGCTCAGTGGTCTAAAGCACCTACTTAGAACAAGCTTAGCAAAGCACAAGGGACCGGGGTTCAATCCCCAGCACCACATGCCAGCCAGCCCTGCCCCCTGGTGGGCTGAGCTGGCCACACACATAAATAAATAAAATAAAATAAATTTAAAAAAACAGGAGGATCATTATAAAAAAAAAAGTAAAAGTTAAAAAATGTTATGACAATATCATATATCATACAGAAACCACATACCACAAATAAACTACCAAAGAAACAAATATTTTAAAACTAAAAGCAGAGCACCTTAATTAAACCTGCAGAGTAGCTAATAAAATGAGTATGATGTTCCACTAAACATATGAAGTGAGAGGAAAAAGTAGCAAAGGCAGTTCATTTTTCAGGCACTAGTGGGCTGTGGGCCCGGCTAGCCCTCTAGCGGGCTCCAGCGGGAATGCAGTCCACGTCCTCGGGCAGGGTGGGTCTGCAACAAAAGATACACACAGCCCGCAGGTCAGCAGAGAAGCAGATAAAAGTACAAAACTGCAAAAATGGCCGGGAGATGGCTCAGTAGAATAAGTGCTTCGCTGGCAAGCACAAGAGCCTGAGTTCAATCCTCGGTTCTGGAAAAAAAAAAAAAAACAAAAACCTGCAAAAATGCCAGTGTCTCACTGCTCCTACTGGGTGCAGGAGAAATTCTTCGAAGTCGATCGCAGGGGCTTCTCATAAGTAAAACACAGCACAACAATAAAACTGAAAATTGTGCAGCTATTTCTTTCCTTCCTGTCTTTCTTCTTTTTTTTTTTTTTTTTTTGGTGGAACCGGGGATTGAACTCAGGCCCTTGTGTTTGCCAGGGAAGCACTTATTCCACTGAGCCATCTCTCTGGCCCTTTTTTTTTTTTTTTTTTTTGTATTTAGTACTGGGTCTACAGGGTCTCACTACAGAGATCAGACTCGTAGTGACACTCCTGTTTTCAGCCTCCCAAGTGCTGGGATTACAGGCATACACCACCAGACCCAGTCTCAACTGCAGTCTCTGTGTGCCCCGGGGGTGGGACCTAAGCAGGCGCTTTAATCCACTGAGCTATCTCCAGCCCTGTGCAGCTATTTTCACAGGTAAAGCTCTTAACTGCAGCCTCTATGTGCTACATACTCTCCTGCACAAAGGCTTTCATATTGTATTTTGAGGGTTTTCCACTGGCTGGATCGAGGGCAGTATGCTGTCCTGTACATCTGCATAGCTTCTCTATTGAGTTTTTTTTTTTTTCTATTGAGTTTTTTATATAAAGAACAATGTTCTTATTATCAATTGAAAAGTAGTGTTTTGTTTTTTGGGCTTTTTTTTTTTTTAATTTTAGGGAAGGGTCTACAGGGTGTTCAGGATCTCACTACTCGATCAGACTCATAGTGATCTGCCAGTTTACAGCCTTCCAAGAGCTGGGATTACAGGCACATGCCACTTGCACCACCACGCCCAGTCTCAATTGCCCTCTCAGCACGCCCTGGGGGCAAGGCCAGCATGGCAGGCCTGGGGATCAAACACCCAGGCCCTGTGCCTGCTTGCAGGTGCTTTAATCCACTGAGCTATTTGGCTGGCTCTAGTGTGACTATTTTAAAATAATCGATAGATACACATTGAGAGACAACCATTTATAATTCTCAACTCTATTAACACACGTTGCAATTTGGAAATACTTTGAATTTTGAAATCACAATTTTTTTATTATTTATTTATTTATTCAGTCTTTTTGAGACAGGGTCTCACTATGCAGTTCAGGCTGGCCTTGAGCTCATTTTATAGTTCCAGGTTGGTCTTGAACTCACAATGATCCTCCTCTCTTACCCTCCTGAATGCTGGGATTACAGGTGTGCACCACCACACCTGGCTCTGAAGTTACAGTTTTATGATAACTATCAAAATTTTTTTACTTTCTTTTTCTGAGGCAGGGTCTTGTTATATAGTTTAGGCTGGCTTCAAACTTGTAGTGATTCTTTGCCTCTGTCTCCCAAGTGCTGGGGTTATAGGTGTGTGCCACCATTCCTGGTTTACTAGCAAAATTTTATACATCATTGTAAATGATACATAGATGAAAAGTCAAATTCTATGCAACACACAAATATCAAGCTTGAGCTTACCATGTACTCTTCACTTTCTTCTCTATAGTCGTCCAATTCTTTATCTAAACGAGAAAGTTCTTTGTTGATCTCATCAAGTTCTGCTTGTAAGCTCTTGTATTCCTGAAGGCCACTGTCAAAGTTTCTCTTATAGAGCTGTCTTTGCTGATCTGAAGTGATGGGTGGATACTCCCTAAGAATTAAGAGAGAACAAGGGCTGAGAATATAGCTCAGTGGCACAAGCACCTGCACGCACAGCAAACACAAAGGTCTTGAGTTTGATTCTCAGCAGCCCCCCCATAAAGAATTGAGAAATATGTATCTCCTTAGCAGATATTTAATGCAGTGTTCTTCAAAGATTATAAAACTGATGGAGTGTAGAATATGGCATTCTAGTTGTGGTGGTGGTGATGGTGGTGGTGGTGATGCTGCTGCTGCTGCTGATGATGATTAGGGGAAGGAAGGAGGATACAAATAACTTCTACTAAGAATGATTCTACTTTTTCTGGGTGTGGTGGCACATGCCTGTATTCCCAGCACTCAGGAGGATGAGGCAGGAGGGTCATTGTGAGTTTGAGGCCAGTCCGTAAGTTCAAAGCCAGCCTGAACTACGTTAAGAGAAATCTGTCTCAAAAAAACAAATTATGCCTTTGGGCTGCAGATGTAGCTCAGTGACAGAGTGCTTGCCTCATATATACAAAGAATTACATTTGTTGTGTTACTGCTCACATTCTCATTCTTTTTAACTACTTCACGTAACTTTCAGAAATCAAGTTGAAAATGATTTATGAAATTTAAGAGGGCTACAGATATAGCTCAATGGCATAAGCACCTGCCTGGTAAGAACAAGGTCCCAAGTTCGCTCCCTGGTACCAAAAAACAAAAAGAAAAAATTTAAGGTCAAAGTCATAAGAACTCTTTATTTTCTAACACAACATCACATGGTAATGGGGTACTTGTATTTACAATCTTTAGTTGAATTCTGGAACACAAAACTTGTTTTGATTGTACAATCCAGCACTGGCTGTTTCCTGTCCCTACCTACAGTTTTCAGAGTGGCTTATTTATTTTTCGTCTTGTTTTTCCTAAGTGGAAATAGCTTATTTTGTCATTTCATTATAAAAGCAGACATTCAAAATGTATAGATATGAGCTAGGGAATGTAGCTTGGTGGTGCAGCAGGTGCTTAGCATAGGCAAGGCCCTGGGTTCAACCTCTATCACATACACGAAAGGTACATATACAACACTGCTTCTGCTGGGAATGGTGGCACACGCCTATAACCCCAGCACATGGGAGGGTGCGGCAGGAGGATCACTGTGAGATTAAGGCCAACTTGGGTTACACAGTAAATTTTTTTTAATTAATTAATTAATTTATTTATTTAGTGTGTGTATGTGTGGCCAGCTCAGCCCACCAGGGGGCGGGGCTGGCTGGCATGTGGTGCTGGGGATTGAACCGCGGTCCCTGTGCTTTTGTTTAGCTTAGCTTGTTCTAAGTAGGTGCTTTAGACCACTGAGCCATCTCACCAGCCCCTACACAGTAAATTGAAGGCCAGCCTACACAGAACTATGTAGGGAGAGCCTCTCTAAAAAACAAAAAACCCTATGCCTGCATTCATTCATGCATGTGGTCCTGCAGATAAAACTTTAGGGCTTCTGCCCTGAGCTACACCTCTAGCCTTTAAAACCTTTTTAGACAGGGTCCTGCTAAGTTGCCCAGGCCAGGCCAGACCCTCCACGCCCTGCTTTAGCTCCAGGGTGCTGGGTTGACAAGCCCTGCCGCACCAGACCTGGCACACACGCTAACTGCAGAAATAACCTAAAAAGTCATTAAAGTATGAAGAAAAATTGGAATTCGGTATCACTTGTTCCTCTGAATATATTAGCTACTCCTTGCATAGAAGGCGATGCTACTAACCCACAACTACTGAGAAAATACTCTGACAGTTTCACAGGACCAAGATTCTTCAAAGCAATGTGAAATTTCAAAACTTAGATCTAAGAACTGGCCTAATATCTTCATTTTTTTTTAAATTTTATTTATTTGTGTGTGTGTGTGTGTGTGTGTGTGTGTGTGGCCAGCTCAGCCCACCAGGGGGCGGGGCTGGCTGGCATGTGGTGCTGGGGATTGAACCACCATCCCTGTGCTTTGACTAAGCTGGTTCTAAATTGGTGCTTTAGACCACTGAGCCATCTCACCAGCCCCCAATATCTTCATTTTAATGAGGGAAAAAGAATACATGATTTGATCAAAAGGAAAACAAAACTTTAGGGTTTCTCAGAGATTTCAGTTAAAACCTTCATGATACAAATTAGACAAGTATGTTTACAGACAGGTGTCTAAAGCAGGCCAAAAGGTCTTTGGCAGAGGGAAGATGAGGTTCCAGGATGTCACTGAATGGGGCTGTCAAGCCCCATCGAAGGATTTGATTAACCACCACTCACACCAGGAAGGTTTCAGATCTGTGTCCCAGTGCTCAAGACACTTAGGCATGAAAAGGCCACACAGCACACCCCCACGTGCGACAGATCAGAACAAACCAGTAACACAAAGGAACTGAACCTTGGCCAGGACACTAACTGTTACCTCAGTTGTTTACAGAATTGTTTACTCAAGTTCTATGGATTAAACTTTAAAAGACTCTCTGGCCAGGCATGGTGGCACATGCCTGTAATCCCAGAACTTCAGAGGCTGAGGCAGGAGGCCCTTGTGTGTTCTAGACCAGCCTGGGCTACAAATGAGCTCAAGGACAGCCTGAACTGTGTAGCCAGACCCTGTCTGAAAAAGAAAAAAAAATGGAAAGAAACTCAGCTTTATTGTGAAAGCTTAAGAGTAACTGCCGAAGGAAAGCCCTGGCACACTCCTCTGGCAATTTGATAGAACAAAATTCCTCTATATTTATATTTGTTTAAATAACCTCGTGGGTTGCTTCTGGCAGAGGAGCACTGGTGATGGTAGTTAGCCATTTCATGGGAAGCTGAAGTACACAAAAGACATGCTTACACCAAACAGATCCCCTCTGCTTCCAACTTTATGACAAAAGGATGCTGTGGAAACAACACAGCACAATGAGCTTCCTCCAGTCCTGGGTGATGAAGAATGAAGTCACCACCAGCCCCAGGTTCAGAGGCAACAACCACAAAGCTGGCTGGTCAGTTACTAACAAAGTGCGAGGGGCTCGAGGCAGAGGAGAGGAGCACTACCTGATCCAGTCCTCCTCCAGCTCATCGCAGGACTCGCCGCCGGTTGTGTAGTCTGTTTCATAGTGGTCCTGCTCTGCTCGCTTCGGCTTGCCTGCTTTTCCCTTCACGGGAGCTCTCTTTGAAGGTGTCTCCAGGTTACTGGTGCTACTGTACCGAGGCTGCCGGAAGTCATCCACAGGGGAGGTCAGCGGAAGCTCCTGCACCACTTCAGGTACCCTAAGAGAGCATGGGCAGTGTTCAGTAATCACGGAGCAGGAGCAGCTCTGCCAGCACTCTGTACTGATAAAAGGCAGCAACCAGAAGCAGCCAGAGAGAGACATCTCCGCCCAGGTAGGGTCACTCAAGGAGTCCAAGAGTTCCCTGCATTCCCTTATGCACCAGCCCAGAACTCTCTAATGCAGCACACAAGTGGCTGTCCAGTTCTGATTGGAGGCCTTTTTTTTTTCTTCGCAGTACTGACAATGGAACCCAGGCCCTGGGTGCCCCCACACCACACCCATTGCTCTTTCACCTTTGTTCTGCAACCTCCATGAGCACATGGACTTGGTATTCTCAGAACTACACCCCCAGCACTCCAGGGAGGAACAGTTTTGAACTTCAAAGCCAAGGGATCTCAGATTTCATTTTAGGAAGTTCAAGCTGTCTTATCAGAGTTCTTTACCTGCATTGTGCCAGGCTTACTCTGCAAAAGGCTGTCAGGAAAACAAAAACCATGATTCTTTTTAACTGGTTCTTCCAGTTCCACAGAATGCCATGCAGGGAAGAGGATGCAGCTTATCTGACTAAGAGATAAGGGCTTTGTAATATTAATTTTAGACTACCATCTATCAGTTCTCATCTGAAGATAGAAGTTTAAAAAATAAAAAACCTAGGGGCCAGGGAGATGGCTCAGTGGACTAAGAGCCTGCCTGGCCAGCACAAGGGCCTGAGTTCAATCCCCGGTTCTGCCAAAAAATAAAAAAATAAAATAGAATAAAATAAAAAACCTAAAAAGCTAAACTAAAAATTTGTAGTATAAAGGATGAAAGAATTTAGTATTCTAAAAATTGCATGAATCTTGAAGCTATGTAAAATAAATGTATGGGTTAACATTACAGCATTGTTCTAGTGTAATTATTTATTTAACATTGCATCAGATAAACATTCTTAGTGTGAGCATGAAAACAAAGTAACACGGAAATAAAACACCAAGAGCTGGGGAAGGTATAAATTATTTCCGAGTACCAGAGACAGTTTGTTTTCTTCTGTACTAGAATGGTAAGAAGAGAAATGAAAAGCCCAAAGAAAAAGGCTAAAATTTTCTAAGTATGAGCCTTGCTATTCAAATAAACTGTGAAAAGATGTCTATAGCTCCCTGCCCCCTTTCTATGTCCAACTTATAGAAATCAACTTCAGCTTTACCTACTAGGTATACTGGGGTTTTTTGTTTGTTGATTTTATTTTAGAGAATAAGGGTGCTCACGGTCTCACTACTAGATCAGACTCATAGTGATTCTCCTGTTTACAGCCTCCCAAGAGCTGGGATTACAGGTACACACCACCACACCCAGTTTCAACTGCCATCTCAGCATGCCCTGGGGTGAGGCCAGCACAGCAGGCCTGGGGATTGAACCCCCGGTCCCTGCACTTGCTTGTAGGCACTTTAATCCACTGAGCTATTTGGCCAGCCCTGGCATACTGTTTTTCAGGTGATCCAGAGACTGATTTCCACAGTCTTAGGTTAGTAATCACACTTAATTTCTTGTAGAGCCTCAAAATTTTGGGGAAGGTATGTGTAGTTGGGGGTGAAAGTTGTATTTATTTTTTCTTTTTAAACTTATTCAGGTAATAAGTGGCTTTTTGTGCTGTTAATGTTACTTCTAACAGAGGGAAAATTACTTTTTCCCTCTGTTAGAAGTTAATGTTACTTTCTAACATTAGAAAGTTAATGTTACTTTCTCCCTGAGTCAATGATTAATAAGTTCCTAGACATGCTGCCAGCTACTGTGCTTACTGCTTTGAAGTTGAAAACATAACCTTCTGAATGCAGTGAGTCTGCCTGAAGAGTGATGATCTCAAAGGGAATAAACTAAAGGACAACTGAAATTAGAAAAGGGAGTGGGGGGAAACCAAGGCAAACCTCTTGCCAGAATTAGATACCGGTGATAGGTTCCAGCAGTACAAACTGCTAAATTATCATGGCCCTGATCCAACATAGCTGAATCCCCAAAACAACAGCTTATCTGCCCAACAACCATGTCCTCTTTCTTCCCCACCTCAGTCCTAGATACCTTTCTGTTCCACAAGGGAGACCGGATCAGCTCCTTAGGTGTCACTAAACCTGCCCCTCAAGCTCTGCCCCTATCAAGAGTCCATAAAATCTCAGCCTTCCAGTCTTAGGTCAGAGGATCCTCCCTGCTTCCGATCCTCTCTGTGTCATCCTCAATGAGGTTTCTACCCCACTTTCTTTTAGTTCTGCTTCTCTGCTGTCACTCAAACACTTAAGAACTCGTATGATAAATCTTTACCTTGGAAATTTTACATCTCTCCTCTTTCTATATCCTTTAAAACACCACACAGTACACAGTTGATCTAGTAAGAAACAGTGTTTAGCAAGAGAAGTACTTCAAAGTTGTTATGGTAGGGGTGCAGCTCAGTGGTAAAGCACTTGCCTAGCATGTACAAGGACCTGGGCTCCGTCCCTAACACCGCAATAAAATCATATAATGAATTAGGAGTTGGGGAGTGCATGTAGTTTCAGTAACCTCCAAACTGACTTTTAGCGCCAAGTCCTACTCCAAGCCAGCAGAGGTAAGCACTCTGTTTCCCAGCCCCCTTCCCAGGAGGCTCCTCTCCTCACCTAGATACCCTCACCTTTGCCTGCTCTCTGAGCTCCAGAGGTTCTCACTTTTGCTCACACATTGTCCTCCACCCACCTCTGCTGCTGCTGCCTTGGCCTGACCTAGTGTGGTGGTTGTACACTGTCACCCACCTTTGTTTTTGTTTTGGTGGAACCAGGGATTGAACTCAGGCCCTTGCGCTTGCCAGGCACATGCTTATTCTACTGAGCTATCTCCCAGGCCCCTTGTTTTGTTTTTTAAGACCCAATCTTGCTATATAGTTCAGGCTGGTGTTGAACTCACTGTTACCCAGACTGGCCTCCGACTTGCAGCAATCTTCCTGCCTCGGCCTCCAGAGTGATGGGATCACAGGTGCTCCCCACACTGGCTGCTCTTCTGCCTTTGTTTTGCAACCTCCATGAGAATGCAGACTTGGTATTTATTCTCAGGAACACCTGACTCAGTTATTGTGCAAATGACAGGTGTCTAAGGTAATTACTAAACTGAAAACAGATTCTCAAGAATCCTCCTACAAAGACACACAGTATTGGTGTTGGAAGAGAAACACACAATACGTGTCCAGCAGCACCACCACAGCCAGAAAGATGTCTGCTGTATGTACACAGAGCACTTGGGGGCTGCTACCATTACTGGGGAGTACACAGAGCCTGTTTGACCAGAGAGCTCCTTCTCCTGGACAAGAAGATGGGTGACCATGAGCAGGAAGGGCTGGTGAGGATCTTCTGGGTACATGAGCTTTCAAAAAGGAGATTTCACCTTCCAAGCAGTGGCCTGGAACAGCGGTGCAGCTTGGGGACTGCAGATGGCCATCCTGCCCCCACGGGGCTCTACTGAGAAGAAAGCCCATTGAGTGACCACACGCAAGAGCCTGCTCTTCTGAGTCTCTGGATCATACTAGCTGCAGCTCTGAGCCTCGTGGGAGCCAATACATTTCTCTATTTGCTTACACTAGCTTAAACTAGGTTTCTCCAACCCAAAGAACTTGCCTAAATGTCCACCAGATCATCTGACCAGCCTACTGTTAGCAAATAATGGCCCCATTTGACAGAGTAGACCCAGCCTGTCCTGAAGGCTCCAAGTACAGCAGCATTCTACTACTTGATTTATAAACCTCACGAAATTCTTCTGTCTCTTGTTGCAGGATTAATTCTAACTGGAAAACTGCCTAGAAATCTATGGCATCCGGGGACTGGGGAGATGGCTCAGTGGAATAAGCACTTCCCTGGCAAGCACAAGGGCCTGAGTTCAATCCCCAGTTCCAAAGAAATCTACGGCATCAGACAGGCCACTAGGCAAAAGGAACCACACCTTGAGAGTAATTAGCATAGGAGTCCACTGTGCATCAAGTTCAACATCAGACTATCACATGGCAATAGATATCAAAATAATGATTACCTCAGGGTGGGAGGAGGTGGATTTGTGGGAGACAACAGTACACATTCACTATGAGGCCTCCCCATGCCACACACACCCCTGTAATGTGGAGAATCTGGCCCAGGACAGGAGACGCCAACAGCCGTGGTGTGGGTGTGACGGGAAGCACGTATGTGCTGAAGGCTTGGTCCTGGGTATGGCCACTGTGCGGAGCAACGTCGCCCTTTAGGAGGAGAAGAGCAGTGGGAGGGCTTTCCGCCACCACCAGTGCTGCCCTAGGAAGGGACTGTTTTCAGAGAGCAAGCCCCATCTGGGAACCACCCTGGCTGTAGTTCTGAGGTGTGACCTCTCCTTCCACAGGCGTCCTTGCCATTGACACCTTATGAGGATCAAGAGGTCCTCACCAAAGCTGAGCTCAGGCCAGTCTGTCCCACAAACCTCCAGAGCTGTGAGGTAATGAACCTCCTTTCTGTATAAAGCTAGCCCGCCTCGGTATTCAGTTACAACCATGAAAAACGATCTAGTGCACAAGAATTCTAGAACTCACAGAAAATTTCCTAGATTAATAGCTATATGGGCTGGATGTGGTGGCAGAGGGCTGTGAGCCAGCACTTGGGAGGCTAAGGCAGGAGGATTGCTGTGAGTTCAAGGCCAGAGTAGCTACAAAGTGAGTTCAAGGCTAACCCAAACTGCCTAGTGAAACCTATGTATGTGGACAGTGTTAATAAACATGCAACCTTCCCTTCTATCTATGCAACCTAGTAATCTCAGGTAAGAGGCTGAAAACCACACTTAACTGTCTCAGAAACTTTCTTCTACCCTCACTGAATGAATCTTCAAAGCTAAAAATATAAAGGGAACACACAGAACTACATTTTTCATATTCTTATAGTAAAAGACAAAAGAAAAAGGAAAAGAAAGACCACACCACACAACCATTCCTTTTAATTAAATCAGCAAGGGAGGGGCTGGAGAGATGGCTCAGTGGTCTAAAGCACCTACTTAGAACAAGCTTAGCAAAGCATCAGGGACGGCGGTTCGATCCCCCAGCACCACATGCCAGCCAGCCCCGCCCCCTGGTGGGCTGAGCTGGCCACACACACACACCATACACTCTCTC